CAGCCGCTCGGACAGAGGCAAAAATGAGTCCGAGCTCCCATCGTAGGCACCCGTGAGCTCCTTCAGGGATGAAATCTGGAGGGAAGAAAGAGCCACTGCTCAGGGGGTCATGCTCCCCAGCCACCGTGGCACCCCATGGCCCTGCCAACCTATGCGGGGTCACTCAAGTCTCCCACCACCTCCTGTGCCTCCCCCACTGCTGCCATGTGGCAGGGACAGCCCTCCGCCCGACACACGGGGACTACACACCTTGATACCAAGTGCTTCCAGGCTACGTTCTATGTTCTGCAATAAAAAGACATTATCTTACAATTATTTTTATTTATAGAATGTGGGTGTTGGCCCTGTCCCACCACAGGGGCTGTGGAGGCTCCTCTGTGCCCCAGGGCTGACATCTCAGCCCAGCAGGTCAGGGAGCACTCACCACTGCAGTCCCAGGGTCTCCACGAGCTCCAGGGCTGCCAGGTCGCCCCTAGGTTTGCAGAGAAAGACGGAATGGAAAGATGTACAGAGGTGGGGTAGATGAGGTGAGCAGCACTGATGCTGCCCTTAGTAGGTTTCAGAGTTAACACTGCTGGTGCTGCCTGGGCAGGGGCTGCAGCCACCCCCACCCTGGTGTCCTTGAAGCTTGTCACACTCGGTGCTGGGTACTCACCGGTTCCCCTTGCAGTCCAGGGTCCCCTGGGTCCCCCTGAAACACAGCAAAGGTAACAAGGAGGACAGAGCCAGGCTGGCTGGCACCAACACCGGCACCAGGGTCCCGCTCTGCCAGACCAGAGGCAGGGGCTTCCACCAAGGGCTTGTCCCCTCTGGCACCAGGTCCCCCAGACCTTTCTCCTGTGGGGCTTGGGGGCAGGAGCACACATACCTTCAGCCCAGGCACACCACGGGGGCCCACCAAGCCCTGGAAGACGCAGAAGAGATGCCATGGCACCCAGCACCCATGGACTAAGGGCAGCACCCTGAGGAAGCCATGGGCAGGGCTCCTGCCCGCCCCACAGCAGCCCAAACTCCAGGAGCTGGGTGGCACCATGGGCTCAAGGACTAACGCACCTGGCCTGGGGGGCCGACCTGCCCTGGGATGCCGGGGAGGCCGGGGGGGCCGAGGGGGCCCGGCATG